GTTTTGAAGGGCTCCACGGTGCAGGAAGGCAGCGGGGAGGAAAAGGGCCGGAGATCCCCCCACAGGAGGGGCTCCAAAGCCAGCCCAGGGTGCTCTGAGGAGGAAAGACCCAGCCTGTGCCGGGAAGGCGGCCAGAGCTTGAGGCAGAGCTCTGAGCTGGTGGTCCCTGAGCAGCCTCCCAGCAGGGAGAAGCCCTTCAGGTGCTTGGAATGTGGGAAGAGCTTCAGGAAGAGCTTCAATCTCCTCACCCACCAGCTCATCCACACTGGGGAACGGCCCTACACGTGTAGGAATTGTGGGAAGAGCTTCAATAGCAGCTCCAATCTCCACACCCACAAGCGAATTCACACCGGGGAACGGCTCTTCCCGTGTAGGGAATGTGGGAAGAGCTTCAGCCAGAACTCCACCCTTATCCGACACCAGCACATCCACACTGGGGAACGGCCCTACCCGTGTAGGGAATGTGGGAAGAGCTTTAGCCAGAGGACCTACCTCCGCACCCACCAGCGCATCCACACTGGGGAACGGCTCTACAAATGTTTGGAATGTGGGAAGAGGTTTCAGACCAGCTCCAATCTCCTCTTACATGAGCGGACACACACGGATGAGAGGCCCTTCCGCTGCACCGACTGCGGGAAGGGCTTCAAACTGAACTCCCACCTCATCAGGCACCAGCGAATCCACACCGGGGAGAGGCCCTACAAGTGTGGGGAGTGTGGGAAGAGCTTTGCCCAGAGCAGTAACTTGACCTCACACCAACGGACCCACCAGTAAGGGAAGCCCTAAAAATGCCCTGACTGCGGGAAGAGCTTTGGCCGCTGCTTCCACCCCGAATGAAGCCCCTGATGGTGAGGCAACCCCTGGAGTCCAGTGACTGTCAGTCCATCCCTTTCGACCACAAAGGGCCAGTCCCCTTTCACAGGGGCAGCTTCTTCCAACAGAACCCTTCTTGGGGGTGTGTGTGGAGATTCCTGCCTTGGCTGGAGACCCCCCCAAGGTCAGTCCTGGAGGTTGAGAGCAGAGATCACCCCAGGAGCGTTGGTCTGGGGGAGTTCCATCCATCTGTAATTAACAATTATTGCTTTTGTGCCAGCTTGAGTAGAATTGCTTCAACAATTGCTTTAGTGTAGAGCACTGTCCTATCTTATCCTGTACTCCTGGTAGTTTTAGTGTTTGTATTGTGCAGTAAATAATTCTGATGAAGATCTTTTGTCTGATCATTTGGAACCCTAAATAACTCATTTCTATCAATAGATCTGATTTGCCATCATTAAAAGCTGGGGGACCAAAGTGATTCAGTCACACCTCTGTAATTCCTCTAAACTGAAAGTGTTGGCATAATGCAAGGCTGAGATTGGATCCAGCAGCCCCCAGCAGCCCCCAGCACCCCACAGGAAGTTGGGAGCTCAGGGGGGCCACACCCCTTTCCCAACCCCCATGGGACTGCTGGACCTGCCAGACCACCCTCCCTTTTCCACCCTTCTCCCTGTTCCTCCCACTTTCCCATTGTCCCCTCAATTCCTAATTCCCCTCCCCCAAAAGTTTTGGGGTCCCAATCCCCCCTTTTTGCCCCCTCTCCTGTTGGTGCTGAAGGAGAAAATGAGGCTGCACACACAGAGTTCCATTGCAGGACTTGTCTGCAATGTTTCCGACATCCCCCTTTCATTGGGGTTCCTTTGGAAACAGCACCTGAGGTTTGTCTTTTAGTCCACTGGAATTCCCAGCATGGCCCCAAAGCAGTGCCCTGATCCCACACATTCCCCTCCCCTCATGTACTGGCTGTGTTCAGCCACCAGAGAAAAACACAGGCTGCCATGCAGAGCATTCCAAGTGGTTTCCACTTTGGCAAACAGCACTCCCTGGATGGAAAACACCAGTCAAGGCCAAAACACTCCTTGTTGATCCTGATTAACTGAATGCAGCTGCTACTGCCTTAACTTGTTCCCACCAAAAATTCTCAGGGTTCCTTTGCTTCCAGGAGGCCCCACATGTCCCAGTGGCCCCTGGATTCCATGAGCTTCCACAGTCTCCAAAGGTTCTTTTAGTTCCATGAGGCCCTGCAGTCCCCAAATGCCCTTTGGATTCTCAGAGATTTCCCATTGTCCCAGGGTCCCTTGTGCTTCAGAAGGAGCTGCAGTGGGACAGTGGCCCCTTGGTTCCATGAGCTCTGCAGTGCTCCAGGAATCCTTGGGTTCCAGGAGATCCTGCAGTTTCACAAGGACCACTTGAATCCAGGAGGTTCTGCAGGGTCCCAATGGCCCCTGGATTCTGGGAGGTTCAGAAATATCTCAGGGCTCCCTTGGTTCCAGGAGGACACGCATGTCAGCAGGAACCCTTGGTTCCAGGAGATTCAACAGTGTCCCAGAATTCCTTTGATTTCATGACATCCTACATTGTCCCAATGGACTCCTGATTCCATCAGCCCCCTCAATGTCACAGTGGTCCCTTGGTTCCATGACTTTCCACAGTGTCCCAGAGTTCCTTTTGTTCCATGTGTGACACCTGCAGTGTCACGATGGGCCCTGAATTCCAGGAGTTTTCCCAGGGTGACAGTGCTCCCTTTAACCAAAACTATAAAAAAGGGAAAAACAATTAGAAGTTCAAGAACCTTTGCCTTCTCCATAAATTCCATTTGAAAGTTCTTCAGTGTTAAACCACTGGAGACACCAATGGTGGGAAATCCAAGCTATTTGCTCTTGCAACTACCTCCACTGCACTGACCCACCTCCTGGAGTGCTTAGTAAAATACCAAGGCTCTTATAAGCCAAAATCTGTAACTACTGTCCACACTCCTTTCTTCAAAGACACGCATCCATCAAAACTAATGTAATAGGCACAAAAACTGGTTTCTTAGAGACAGATGGTGATGGGAGAGAAGACATTGCACCACCTTAACCCAGTTTTCCAGCTCAGGAAAGACGTACAGTGCAACAGCAAATGCACTTACAAACAAATGGAACGACCGGTTTAGTTCCTGGTGGGAAAGGACATATCAGAAATCAGATGAAAATGGTACCAAGTTCCACCAGCTGCCTTTAGCAAGGCTCCTCATCCATAT